ATGTTCGTGACGTATATAAACGTGACCACTGCAGGCAACAGCAGTGTCCTTGTGCAGTGGAGTGACAGCAGCATCAATAGTATTAATTCTTGTTTTCGCATTCCGAAACATGACTCTGAAGGCAAGTTTACACTCCTGCATAAACAATGTGCATGTTCCGGAGCGGTAGAATGCATATACACGAGGATCTGTTTAGCACGCATAACCATTCATTTTTATGTAGGGATTGTGTACACATATGTCTATATATATATTTACATATATTCATGTTTATATAGTTATATATACATTAATATAGATATACATGCATCATATATATACATATATTATATATTCATATGTATCTGTGTATGTGCTTGTGATACCTTTTAATATATAATGAACACTAAACATGTGTAACGATTATTACACACCCTGCACACACAAACCAGACCTTCACATGCAAATATGAATATATATATACAAATATTAAACTTGTATATTAGTTATGTATCCATATCTGCATCGGAGAAGAGCGGCGGAATTAGTATATTCCTCCTATAACCGTGCTCCAGTTTTGCAAATTTCCACTTAATTTTTGTCACATCTAATATCACAGTCCTTCCTCTTTCTTACCAGGTTATCGCCCTGGCTTCCTTGCTGGCAGCCGCAAGTGCAAAGCCAGGCCTTTCTCAGAGCTATCAGGCTCCAGGATCTTCCTTCGGTGGTTCTGCAGGAGCTGCCAGTTTCCTCCGACCTGCCGCAGGACCTGCCATCAACTTCGGAGGGGCTGCTTCTGCTGGAGGCTACAGCCCTCCTGTCGCTCCTGTAGTAAGTTAACTTGAATAACAATAAGAACAAGCAATGAGAATAGTAGCAGTTATGTACATAAAACAAGTAAGTATTCATACATCCTTTCAGATGATAAATCTCCGAATTCTTGATCAGAGTAATGGTTCTCTGAGTTCCTTTTGTTGTTGCAAATGATGTTTGAAGTAATATTAATGATAGCCTACAGATTACTTTTTTTTTTTAAACCCATATAGACTCGTCCTCAGTATAACTTCAACTATGACGTCAACGCCTTCGGTAACGATTTCGGCCACCAAGAGGGCCGCGACGGATACAACACTCAGGGATCCTACTACGTGCAGCTTCCCGACGGTCGTCTGCAGAGGGTCACCTACACTGTCAACGGCGACCAAGGATACGTGGCTCAGGTGACGTACGAGGGAGTGGCTCAGTACCCTGCCTTCCAGCCGTCTGCCTCCTACTCGCCCTCACCTTCTTATGGTTAAGGTCTGCAAGCCGAGGGGTATTATGTGTCGGATGTTAACATTCATAATATCATTATTAAAGATTAGCCTGATAAAAATAAAACAATTTCACACTTACCCTTCTAAAGCTTTTATCATTTCCTTATAACAATCAGAAAGAAACAAGTTTTTGGTTAAATAGAAGTTTAGGTATCTTACCATGTTGGCCCTAATTATCAATCGATGATTAAATCTGTAAAAGGCGTGTGCCTTTATTTGTATGTCTGTATACATATAAGATAATAGCAAAATGTTAATAATGTCAATATGAGAATATGTATACTATCGGTAGCATCAACTGAAGAAAGTTCCTATATTTAGGTTATAATAATAATTTAGAGATAAAAATCATCACTATTGTTAATATAAATGTTGACCTTTTACCGTATAATATATAGTAAATATAATAACTTTGGAACTACAGTACATTGCGCTAACCGGCTGCATCACGAAGGTAGTATTACAAATTAAGATCTGTACTTATGTCGACCTTATTAGAAATAAGGAAGGTTACTGCGGTAACATAATTCTGTAAGATATTAATGAGTCCAATATCTCAACTCTAATGACGTGGATCTGCAAACAAAAGTCACTTTTTCATAAGAATGAAATTATGTGCTTTTGATAAGAATGAAACATCAACCATTCTAAATATAGGGGTCTATTAGAAAGCTTGATCCGAAACCGTAAGAAGTTTGGATTTAGGTAAAGTGTCTTAGAGATACACGACCAATATTTCTAGGGAAATAGTTGGCATAACTATGCTATACGCTAAACTATGTAAATATAATAATATATGTATATATATTATATATATAATATATATATATTGTAGCCCACAGTATCTCCAACTACAAAATACGTCACACTGTAGGGCCACCAGTGAAACGTGTCAGCATCACCTACATCAATAAGGGCATCAAGAATCTCTTGGATTTTTGTACACGGTTTAATCCTTTCCTGGAGACATTCGAGCTGCAAACAAATAAAACATTGGTAACCATGTACTGAAATACAGGTCATTGAACAAAGTACCACAGTTATTTAAGTCTGGGCTTTCTTGATACATGAATTAAAGATGTGTAATGTTTACTTTTCTTGTTTTCAAGACTTGAGGCCTATTAACATAAATATATGAAATAAACTCGGAACTATCTGTAGATATACAGCCCGACTCAATGAACATTCATTACACACACACACAC